CCACAACAGTGAGAGGCCTACGTACCACAAAAAAAAAAAAAAAAAAAAAAAATATTAGTTATCTGCAGAAGTGAGTCCTTTAAAAAGAAATATAATTATATATCAGGAACACACTTGGCACAATTAACAGCAGTTCATTAATAGCTTTCTGTACTAGTCTGTCTTCAGTTGCCTCCATTTGTTTCAAAAATGCCTTTTCACAGGTGGTTTGTTCAATTCAAACAGTTATTATCATTTTGGGGAGGGGGGCCGCACCATGAGGCTTGTGGGATCTTAGCTCCCTGACCAGGGATTGGACCCAGGCCTCGGCAGTGAGAGCGCCAAGTCCTAATCACTGGACCACCAGAGAATTCCCAGACAGTTATTATTTTTAAAATCTCTCTTGTGTCTGTAGTTTACCCCTTTTCATTCTGTATTTTTATCTTTTTGCGTCTTTTCTCCTTTTCTTGATTTGTCTTGCCAGAGGTCCACCAGCTTTGGTTCTGTTAATCTTCTCTTATTTTCCACGGCTGCTATTCTCTTTTATTTTTGCAGTTATCTTTATTAATTCCTTCCTTATTTGGAGGGTTTGTTCTATTACATTTTCCCCATCTTCTTCAGTTTACTACCATCTCAGTATTAAAGCTATAATTTCCCTCTAAGAACCCTTTAGTTGTGTTTCACAAATTTTGACCAGTGGTATTTTTATTATCATTCAGTTTTACAGATTTCTTAATTTCCTCTATGATTTCTTATTTAAGCAACAGCTCTTTTGTTGTTGTTGTTGCTGTAATATGTTAGTTTCCCAAGGTATGAGGGGGTTTTTTGGGGATTTTTTTCTTTAACTTTGTAGCGTGTGTCTTTTGTTACTGATTTATAACTTCATCCCATTGTGATTGAAGATACTTTGTATGATAACTGTCTTTTCAGATCTCTTGAGACTGGTTTTGTGGCCTCACATGTGGTCTGTCCTAGAGAATGTTCGATGTGCACTTTAGAAGGATGTGTGGCTTTGTAGCCTGAGATCTTGGTGTGTGTGATATCTGTCCTCCAGAGGCCCCCGGGGCTACTTCTCTGGCCCAGTATGGGGCTGGCTTTCATGCATGTTCTGTGTGTGTGCTAAGTTAGTGTTTGTTCGTTCTCGGTGTGCTGGGTGGGGCGCAGTCATGTTAATTGTGAGGTTTCCTTTTTGCAGCATCCCCACCAATGTGGAGCCACCGGAACAGCTGGGCTCAACACTGAAGTTTCGCTCTAGCCTGGACAGCGACCCCATGTCTGGGTAAATAAAACCTGCAGTCTGGGTACATCTTCCTGGAAGAGGTGACAAGGGGGGCTCAGGAGGGCTGTGGGGACTGGGATGGCACAGAGTCCTTGGGCTAGAGCCTCAGGGAAGCTGTCACCATATCTGACCTCCAGGACCTTTGATCCTTGTGTTGGGTGTCTTCATCATTGTGCCAGGGATGGGGGAGACTGTGGTTGGGGGTTCACGATGGAAAGGCCAGGTGTGGGTGTTCATATTGACCTAGGTGATGGTGTGGGCACAGGTGACCTATGGATGTAGGTGATGGGGATGATAGTGGCAAACGGTGATAGTGATGCGGCAGTGGTGGCAGGGATGAGATGATGGGGGCTACAATGCTGAGTGTGTGGTGATGGTACAGTGGTGGTGCTGGGTGCAGTGGTGGGGAGAGGCCCTGACAATAACCACGACCCACAAACCCTGACACAGAGACGGGCATCATCAGTTATCCCAGCATCTTTACCCCACAATAATCACCCCATCACTCTGCACCCCGCACCACCATTGCCCGCATCACTGTCACCACCGCCACCATTACCCCAACACCAACACCCACCACCAGCATCCCTGTCACATCTGGCTTCCTGGTCCGGGATAGGGTGATGGTAGATGATGGTGGGTGTGTGGAATGGCAGAGTAGTGCGTGTTGATGGTGTAGAGGCTGATGGTAATGGGGGCTATGGTGGGGCTGTGTAATGGGGTGACAGGCAGGTGTATGATGGTACGAGGTGATGGTGGTGATGGGGGACAGTGACAGGGAGATGTGATAAGGATGCTGGTGGTGGGTGTTGGTGTTGGGGTAATGGTGGCAGTGGTGAAAGTGACAGGGGCAGTGGTGGTGCGGGGTGCAGAGTGATGGGGTGATTATTGTGGGGTAAAGATGCTGGGATAACTGATGGTGCACAGTCTGTGTCAGGGTTTGTGGGTCATGGTTATTGTCAGGGCCTTCCCTTCAGGGGGCCGGGGAATACCCCAGTTGCCCAAACTCCAGTCCCCTTGGCCAGGTTCCTGCGCTGTCTTGTTGCCGCCGTGACGGGTGTTGTGATGCACATTTCGCGTGGCTGGAATGGGCGTGCAGCTGCTTGTGTGTTTTCCTCGCGGAGTCTGTTCCACGTGCCATCTGCCCTCTACCTCGGTGGATCTAGAAGCCCCTCTGATAAGGTCCACCTAGGCCTGGTTGCCCCTTTGGAGGAAGAGACTTTGGGCTCTGGGCCTGTGTAGTGGGGTCCAGGTTCTTGTCCTGTCCCATCTTGCCCTGTGGGCCTGGGTGAGTGTGGGCCTCTTTGGCTGCAGAGGAATTGGGGCAGGGCTCCTGTGAGTGGGGGAGGGGAAGAGGTGCAGCTTTGCTCCTAGGCAACCGTGGCTGGGCCTCCTCCCTCTGTTCTGCCCGCTGATCCTGTTCCCTATGTTGGTCAGAGACTGAGACCTGGAAGCGCCACTCCCTCTACATGCAGGGAGCACCCCGTCGCTGGGGCCCAAGGCTGTGGGCTTTCAGTTGGCCCCACGTGGGGGTCTGATGTCCTGGGCAGGCACCATGGAGGGCTCTGGGCAGTGCTGGGGCCTGAATGGTGTTTTAGGATGAAGACCACTCTGGCTGCTCCCCGGAGGATGTCAGCAGCTGGCGGGGAGCCTGGACCATGGCTTCCTGGTCCAGGTGTTGTAGGCCAGAGAGAGGCTGGGCTGGCGGGGTGAGGTGAGGTGAGGCTGCCTGCTAGGAAGGTTGCCAGGGAAGGGGCCGCGGTGTGGTGTCCTGCTCTCTGCCCTGCATGGGGAGATACAGGACAGAGGAGGAGTGGCTTCCCGGGGCAGCTCAGGAGCACCTCCCCCCACCCCTGCAGGTGTGGAGGTGTGAGTGTGCTGCTGCCTCCACTGGGCCATCTTGCCCATCTGCCCGGAGTGCGGATGCTGCTCGGCCCCCTTGGGCCCCCACCCCATCCTGCCCCATCTCTCCTCTGCTTCTGAGCAGAGCCCCAGAGTGGCGCACAGCACCTGCCTTACAAAGGTTTAGGGCTCCAGGAGTAGGTGCTGGGAGGGTGGAGGGATGGGGTCATCAGTGACACGTCTCCTGTGGATGCCCCCAGGTGGTCGCCACCCTGGGCCCCAAAGAGACATCCTCTCCGGTGAGCATTCGTGTGATGCCCCCTTGGCCAAGGGCACTGTTGTTTGTCCATTGGAGCGTTGGTTCCTTGGTGGGGTCCAGCCCTGATTGGAAGCTCGGGGGACACTCGACAGGGGAAGGACCCTATGTGCTGAGGGGGCCTGTGCCAGCTCTGCCCCCCTCCCCACCTCCGACCCCTCCCGCTTCATTCTTGGACTTCACCCCCCTACCCCCGCTCTTCCTCTGGGTGACTCCTTGGGTTCTCCAAGAACGAGGCACCAGTTCAGAGCACAGCGATGCAGATGAGACCGCATCTGCCTGTCATGGCCTGGGCTCCATGCTCCCCATGGTGTGGCCATGTTACCTGTGGGTCTTCCACCCACTCTCCACTTTGGCAGGTGACTCCTGTCCTGCCCTGTTGATGGTCAGTGGCTGGTCCTCTCCCCAGAGCTTCCTTGGTTCCCTGTCATGGTTCTTTTGGGTCCTGATTTCATTGTCCCTTCCTAGCTCCTTTCACTCACAGTATGATCAGGCAGGAATGGTGTGTCTTGAAGCACCCAAGTGGTGGAACTGCTGGCTCCAGGCTCCAGGCAGGTCACTGCTGATCCTCTGCGCTGACTCTGCTGTGATGGTGCAGGGGGAGGGCAGGGAGGTCCACTAGGTGAGGTGTGGGCATCGCCAACCTGTGTCAGTTATCAGCCCTCACTGCGCTCCTTCCGCAGCTCTCTCACCCAGTGTGTCACGGCCGCGTGCTGCCTGGCCAGCGTCGCGGTGAGAGTAATGGTGTCTCAGTTCCAGAGACGGCCCTCTCGGTGTCTGGACGTTGGAAGTCTTTGGCCTCCTAGGGACCGTCCCATTCAGCCCCGCTGCAAGCTCCTTGCCTGGGCTCTTGTTCCCCTGGCCTTCTGTCCCTTCCTGCCTAGGCCAACCCTGCCTTCTGAACTTGGCCTTTGGGCTCCTTGATCTGGGAGGTAGCCTCAGCCTTGGGAAGCCCCATTCCTTCCTCTCAGAGGTGTGGTTCCATTAGTGTCGTGGTCTGTTGTGGCCACAGGCCCCTGCCCCACTCTGCAACCACCCCTCAAATATTGCTGTTCCTCAGGGCAATGTGCCTTGCTGTCCTACTAGGTGCTGCCCATGGGGTCCCTGAGTGAATTTATTCATTTGTTAAATACTTATTGAGCACCTCCTGTATGTCCAGTCACTGGAGATACAGTGATGGTCCAGAGCTGGTGCAGTCTGTGCATCCATGAATCCACAGGCTGGAGGTAAGATGCACATTAAGTCAAATGCTCACACAAAGGAGTGTGTATTTATAAACTGAGGTAGACAAGAATTTGATTTGTAAGAGCACTTACCGAGGAGCCTTACCTCATCTGCATGGTGAGGGAAGGTGTCCCTGAGGAAGTGATGTTTTGAGCTGAGGTCTGAAAAGTGACCAAGAATTAATTGTGTAGGGGTGGGAGGAAGAGAAGAGCAGACGGGGCAGTTGGGGGGGAGGAAATGCGTGTGCAGAGGCCCTGAGGTAGGACACAGCATGGTGCTTTCAAAAGCTGAAAAGGAGGGTGATGTGGCTGGAGCACACAGGAGGGAGGCTGGGAGTCCCAGGCCACACAAGTTTTACCTTATTTAGACTTTTAATTAAGATTAACATTTGCCTATTGTAAGTGTTACTATCTGATAAGACAAATGCTAGATTTTTTTCCTTTTATTATCAACTATTATATATGTATTTATATATGTATACACACACACAGAGAGAAAAGTACAGATACACACACACATCACACAAAGTTTAATAAGTAAATTATAAAGCAAATTCCTGTGTGACCCCAGGAGCTACAGCAGCCATACTAGGCTTTTGAGCAGGAGTGACAAGATAAGACCTGACAGGGTGGCCAAGGGGACTTGGGGAGGCATCTGCATCTTCCTGGTGAGGCAGGTTCAGGTTCAGGCAGGTTTGTGGCTTGGAGCATGTGCTGGTGGGAGAGGAGGAGCTGAGGGGACGGGCCGGCGGGCCCCCGGGTCTGCTGGTAGGCTTAGATGGCTGAAGGAGCCCATCGAGGGGACCGCTGGAACGGGGCTGGCCGGCTGAGCTGGGCGGAGCAGGAGCGTGGTTTGGGGACCCTAGGCGGGGCATGTCTTGGACCCCGTGGTAGGGCTCTCCTGGACAGTGGGGTGGAGAAGCTGGGCCTGGGCAGGCAGGGCTGAGGAGGCAGCTCCGGGAAGACAGCCGAGCGCTTCCCTCCCCACTCCTGGCCCCAGTTTGGAGCGCAGCTGGGAGCAGCTGGGGCGCCCGCCAGCCGCACTGTGTCTTTAAGAGGCCCCGCATCTCTCCTTCCTGCCTCTGACGTCAGGGGTAGGGGAGGGCCGAGGAGATTCGCTTTACTTTTCCTGGAAAGGGGAGGAGATTGAAACCGAGTGACCTCATGATGGAAAGGGGAAGTCCGGGGGTGCAGGAGGCCCCTAAGTGAAGGTGGAGGCTAACATGGGGTGAGCTTGGGCGCCATACTGTGTGTCAGGGACAGAGACAGAGACAGAAGAGAGAGAAAGAGAGATTAGAGATCGGTGGTGGTGGCCCTACAGTTGAGTGCTATTGATTGCGTGTGAACGTGGGTGTGCGTGTCTACATCCCTGGGTCAGTGGAGGGTCTGGGAGGAGCCTGTGGGTGAGGAGCAGTGACAGGCTCCTCTGGTTAGGCAGAAAGGTACCTCCTGACGGTCCTGTCTTGGGGCCTTGTTCTGGGCCTCACAGTGGCCAATGGCTCCTATTTTATGAACGCAGTCAGGTATTTTGAGTCTGGAGTGTGAAGGGTCTGTCCTTAGTCTGTCCCAGAGCTGTGCGCCGGGCCTTGCTGAGCTTGTGCTGCCCGTCTGGGCTGTGAGATGGAAGACCCTCCACCCAAGGCGGGGCGAAGGGGGGTGCCCAGCCTTCCCCCAGGCCTCAGGGGAGGCGAATGCCTAAAGCTCACCAAGCCCCTCCCACGTTTTGATGTGCTTGGTGCAGTTGCCTTTTACTGGCACACTGCTTGGCCTCGGGGAACAGGGGAGGACAGCTTGGGGCTGTGGCTGTGCCCTTGAAGGTCGGCTTTGGTGAACTTCCCACCACGGCCTGCCCTGCGTTCTCGGGGGGCGGGCTCTCCACTTGGTCCTGGTCCTTGCTGAGGGGCCTGCGTGGGCAGGGAGGCGGCCTGTTCCAGAAGGCAGGGCCCCTCCAGCCCCGCCTGGCTCTTAGTTTACCCACCTGCCCTTCTGGTCAGAGCGAGGGTGTATGTGGACACCTGGCACAGTGCTTGGCACCCAGCAAGCTCACCGTCACTCCGGGGGCCAGCAGCCCTACCCTGGGCTCGCTGCGTGCCTCACTTCACTGTCCTGGCCTCACCAGCCTCCCCTTTCCTGGAACTTCTCCCCGTTTTCGTTACCTGTGCTTCCTGAGTCATTTTCCCTTCAACCTCTGCCTCCTCTAATAATCTGTGGGCTCCCAGAGGCCATGAGTTGGTCTGTCTCGCCCACCTCTGAGTTTTTGGTTCAAGCCACACAGTGCCTGCCTTGTGGCGTGTACTCGATGGGCATCTGCCGCTGGCTCGGTGGGGGTAGACAAGATGTGTGTATGGGCGAGGCACCTGAAGAACTCTCTCCCATGCTCCTGAGGGTGTAGCCAGGGGGCCGCCCCCGGGTGACTCTCAGTCAACCCCATTTTACACTTGAGGAAACACCTGAGGCTGAAACAGGTTCAAGCTACATACCCCAGAGGTTGCTCTATCTGTGTTGCCCAGAGTCTCCTCTGGCAAGAGGGGTGCACCTCGGGCATGGGTGCGGGGCGGACTGCTGGCCCTAGGTAGGGGAGCGAGGCCCTGGGCCTTGACCGGCTTTTTGGCAGGTTCGGAACGACGGTGGCCGTCGGGCTGACCATCTTTGTGCTCTCTGTCGTCACCGTCATCATCTGCCTCACCTGCTCCTGCTGCTGTCTGTACAAGATGTGCCGCCGACCGCGCCGTAAGCACCGCCAGCCCACCTGCCCGCTGGGACCCCTTGTGTGAGGGTGCCCCCCGGGCGGTGGGCGTGGTTTACCAGGGGCCTGCCGGAGCTGAGCTGGAGGGCGGGGTGGCAGGCCTGAGGGTCCTAACTGGGACTCTCTTTTCAGCGGTCGTGACTACCACCACGGCCACCACAGTAGTGCACACCCCTTACTCGCAAGCTCCAAGTGTGCCGCCCAGCTACCCCGGACCAACGTACCAGGGCTACCACCCCATGCCCCCCCAGCCAGGGATGCCAGCAGCGCCGTACCCCACGCAGTACCCACCACCCTACCTGGCCCAGCCCATGGGCCCCCCCGCCTACCATGAGACAGTGGCTGGTGAGTACCCCTACCGACTCCCAACTGTGCCGGACCCCCTGCAGCCGTGCCCATGGCCAACCAGTGTCCTCTCTATTTTCAGGAGGTGCAGCCATGCCCTACCCTGCAAGCCAGCCTCCTTACAATCCAGCCTACATGGACCCCCCGAAGGCGGCCCCCTGAGCACAACATTGCATCTCTGGCTGCCACTTGATCTGTCATGTGTGTGTGAATGGGTATGCAGGCACGGTCCTTTTCTCCCTGTGCGTGGTGTGTGTGTCCTGTTTGTACATGAGGCTTCTTGTGATCAATGAGGGGCTGGGAACAATTCTTGCCAGAGTTGCTGGGACCACACTCTGTTGCCTTCCTCACTCGAAATTATGCTTCCTGAAATCTCAAGCAAAATTCAAAGAACAGTTCTTTTCTAGACCACCCCCGGGAGAGCAAGTGGGGCTTGTCACACTAGGATAGTACAGACTTTTGCCGGCAGGATGCACACGTGTTCCAGTTTCTGCAGAATGGCTAGCCATTGCTCAAGGCCATGGCTTGTCCCCAGGCTTGTCTTTGAAGAACCCGAGGATGATGCAGGCAGGTGGGTGAGGCTTGGGAACTGGCTACAGGTGGGTCTCAACCCTTATGCATAGCTCCCTGAGCCTGTGCCATGCCCAGTGGAGGGTGGGCAGCCTCCTGATATCAAAACGCCTCAGGCAGAACCCCACCCTCCCCTGAGCGCTGTCTGCCTGGTCTGTGTTCTTGCATCCCTCCTGGGACCACCTGGAGGCCCACATTTACCCTCCGTCTGGCTGCCCTGGTTGGCTCTGGCCGCCACCTTAAGTGGGCAGGGTGGCCTCTGTCCACCTACACACTCAGGTGTCCTCCCTGCAGTGTTTTTGTTTTACTTTTAGCTAAGTATTTTGCCTGTTTTCTGTTTCAAAATGTGTGTAATAGTTGTGTGAGGCTGAAACCCCTGGGTCCTGGAGGAAAATTGCCCCAGAGAGCAGAGGAACTCTGATGTCTGATAGTCCCTGCTTCCCCAGCACCAGCCTCACAGGCTTTCCAGCTCCTGTACCCCAGGCCACAGTTTGTCTTGGCAGTGGGGACGCCTGGGCCAAGGTGTCGTCTGGACCAAAGGTGGAGGGGACCCTTGGTGGCTGCTCTTGGCCCAGACACATACCTCGCTGTTCCCTATCCCTCCGTTAACGTCTCACCACATAGTAGCTTTGTACCTGTTGATGTGTTTTGGAGTCTAGGGTCTGCACCCTTGTTTATAATAAATCCAACTATTTGGAGCTGCTGTCTCCTTTCTTGGCTGCTGGGATTGGGTTTTAGGCTAGGTATCATTTCCATCCAGTATTTGAAGTTCCTTGTTTTCCCTACTTTTATTGGGTTCAGACGTCTGACCATCCTGCTAGGGAGGGTGATGGACAAAGACTGCCACTTCCTGTGCCCCTGGCCCCAGGTGTCTCAGTGTGGGCAGAAGTGCGGGAGGCTCTCAGGCTGCCACGGTGGGTAGAGGTGAGTGATCACTCGGTGCTGTGGAGGGTCTTTATTAGTCAGAATTTCCTTCTTGGCCTACTGCCCGGGTATGGCCAAGGACAGCCTATACAGCGTGGCTACTGCCAAGGTCAGGAAGGCCAGCAGGCCCAGTGGGGCCAGCAATCCCTCCCTGGGTGGGGCTCCAGGGCTCTTCACTGGGGAAAGGGGCTTAGGGTTCCTGTTTCCACCACGGTTGGGGCTGGTGCCCCTGGCTCTGGCCAGGGGTACCGTGGCCGTAGCAGCAGATGGCCTTGGGCTGGTTCCAGTCGAGGCTGTGACCACGTACATCGGCTTGACGGTGTTGAAGGGCCTGGCATGAGCATCTACCCACCGCAGCAGGGCCTGTGGCCTCCACTGACAGATGCTGAGCAGGGCTAGGACGTCACCCTCGGCTGTGTGTGAGTCTGGTGGGGCCTGCCCATACAGGCGCATGTAGATGCTGCCCAGGCTGTAGCTCTTCCTTGGGCCATGCTCTGAGGGGCTGTCAGCTTGCTCCAGGGCCTTCAGGGCAGCAATGCTATCCACACAGAAGGCGCCCTCCAGAGCACTGGCAAGGCCCAGCACAGCCAGCTCTGCCTGGAGCAGGGGGAAGTCGTAGCGGTCACCGTTGTGTGCCACAAGGCACCAGGGCTGTGGCTGGCGCTGCAGGAAGGCTCGGAGCATGTTGGCCAGGTTGGCATCGAAGCGTTGACGCCCATGTGCAGCCAGCACAGGTGTGCTCAGGCCTGTGATCTCACTGGCTGCAGGGCTACAGGCCTTCCCCGGAGCCACGCACAGGGAGAGCTTGTCCAGCACCCGGGGTGGTGGGGGCACTGTTGAAGGAGGCCCCTGATGGGTAGGAAGTCTCTCCAGGGCCCATCTGTGGATGGCCAGCAGGCAGAGCTCTGTGACCTTGGGCTGGGAGAAGGGCAGGCCAGTGGCCTCCAGGTCCAAGAAGATGAGGGTCTGCACAGGACCCGGGGGCAAGGCCTGCGAGCCCATGGTGGGTATCTGCCGCTGAGCCTGGGGAGGAGCATGGGTTGGGTGGTGGGTGTGTGAGTGCCCAGTGATAAGAGGTAAGGCAAGTGGGGTGGGGTGGGCAGGAGCACCCCTCTGGCCTTCCCTGCATGGGCAGGCACTGTTGCTGAGCTCCAGGACCCATTTCCAGGGCAGGAAGCCAGGGAGGGTGGGGTGGCTTTCTTACTGGGACCAGCACACTGTTTTCTGTTCAGGGGAAGGCTTGGCTCCTCCCCCTAGTGCCCGCTTAGTCCGGTGAGGGTTGGTGGGGCAGGTACCCATGCCCTCCCACCCTACCCCCTCCCCTCGGGGGTCCTCACTTACCGAGTAGCAGGCAGGCAGCAGTGACTCAGGGTGCTGCACGCTCTCCAGCTGGTTCTTGCTGCTGGCAGCAGTGGCGGGAAGTGAAACTCAGCCTGAGCCCGCCCAGCGGCTGGTGTGAGCAAGGCCCGCCCCGCTTGTCAGCCTGCCTGGGCTGTCCCTCCTGCCAACACCTGTCCCTCCCCAGGCACCCACAGTGCTATCCCCAAAGGCCTCCTCAGACCTCTCGCTGTGGGCCTGCTGGCTGGCACAATGCACCAGGGCCCTCACACCCTCACACCGGGAGGACAGGGCTATGGGGCAGGCTAGCTCCAGGACTTGAGCCTGCTGGGAGCCCCTGCCGTGGCCATTTTGCACCCACCCCTTGGCCCCATTTTCCCAGGCCTCCCTGGTTTAGGCCTGGGCTGAGGGCCACCTTCTTCCCTGCCACACAATGGTTTCTTCCCATGGCCTCAGGCGAAAGTGATGACTCAGGACAATTCCACAGGCAAGGCAGGGCAGGGCAAGGCAGGGCAGGGCAAGGCAGGGCTCCTTCCTCAAAGCAGATTCATTACCATGGGGCTGCTGGCCAGGAACAGGAAGAAGGATCTCAGCCTTCCCTGGGTCCTCCTCCTGCTCTGTCCCTCCCACTTAGCCGACACAGATCAGACTCAGGAAACATAAGGCTGGCCTTTTCTTTAACAGCCAGTCACTGCTTTTAATCAGGGGATGAGGTAAGGAAAGTGGTGGTGTTGGTGCCACCATGTGGCTCGATGCTCACAGGCCTCAGCCACAGTCCATCTCGGGGTCGTCCACATCAGCCTCCGCGGCACAGAGATCATCCAGGGCTGCCTCTGAGCCAAAAACAAGAGGGTTCTGTGGTGAAGTCCTGCCTGAAGGTGCTGGGACTGGGGAAGGTCCCACCTCTCCTCCACACCAGGCCCACAGGAACTAAGCAGTCCCTTCCACGCCCAGGCCTTGCTCCCTCAGCTACTGCAAGCAAAATAATACAAAGGCAATTCAGACAGGGATGTTTCTGGAAAAACCGTGGCTCTGCCAGGCCGACTCAGTAGGTATGAGCAAAAGGCAGGCTGATATGCTGAAAGAACCGGACAGGGAAGAAAAAAAAAATGGCCCCCGTGCCGGCAAAGGCTGTGTGGATGGAGCAGTGCTGACCTAAGGCCAGGTAGTCTGATTTGTCCATGAACTTCAGGGCAAACTCCACATGTGGGCTGGGGCAGGGAGGGGCCCTCCTGCAGGCTCACCTTCACAGCCTGTCACGTCAGGAAGCCCTCGAATCAGCATGCTGACCCCTGGCATCACCTGGTCGTACTGATGCAGGACCTCCACGCAGTGCACAGTGAAAAGCTTGTCCTTTTGGGACAGACTGTGCAGCAGCAGCACTGTATCTCGCAGACACCGCACCGTCCGCTTCTGCTGGTCAGTCCTCGGGGCCCCCCCTGCCCTCCGCACAGTCAGCCACTGTCTGTGCAGCATCACCGTGAGTGCTCTGACTACCTGAGGGAGGGCACAGGCTGAGGTCAGGCCAGGTGGTCCCTGCACCCTGACAACCTGCTTAGCTGGGCAGCATCTTTCCTAGCCACCCGGGTGAGGAAGGTTCTGAACAGTGGCACCAGGGTCTAGCCCTGGTGAAGGAGCATGGTATGCTTTCAAGGGGCCCTGTCATTCACCAGCAGAGCTGCCCACTGTCGGCCCCTGCCTGCCCCCGGCACTCACCTCCACGTTGCACTGGCAGCTGGAACCAGTGACTGGGGAGGAGGGGCTCTGCACAGCAAGCTTAGCCAGGAGCCACACAGCCTAGAACAAGAACAGACTGTCCCATCCATGGCACAGTGAGGCCCTGGTCACAGTGAGGGCTTTCTCAGCCTTCTACAAGAGCTCCAGTTGCCTCAGCAACTGCTTGTCTGCACTAATGGGATCCAAGAGGTGGTAGTGTTTTGGGACCTTCCCAGGAGACACTCAGGACCAACACCTGTGTCTCACCACTGACCCACCTGCCTCCGTGCCCACCTCCAGCCACCAGGCAACTTTCCCAAGTCCCAGGATACCCTGGGCTCCGACTGTACTGTATCTGTGTAGTATGGAGCCCCCCAAATGAGTTTACCTTGCTTGTGGCTCAACGTGTTACCAAAATGAATTAAAGCTTCCTTTAATTCCCAGAGGAAAGAGAAGAGTGGCTCTTACGTGGGATGGAGTGGGGTGGGGTGGGGTGGGTTGGTGAGCAGCACAAAAGGGGCTCTGGTGTCTTTACCTCTTGTTCCAGCTGAAGCCACTGTGTCTCTGAGGCAGCTTTGTCAGGCCTTGATGTGATGTACATGTACAGCAGCAGCAGGAGGCAGCCTTCTGGAAAGGACACACCACCTCTCACTCAGGATCCGCCTTCTCACCCAGTGCCTGAGGTACAAGCTGCAGAAGCCCTCAGGAGGCCCTGGACCTGCCCCTGCCACCACCCTTCCCTCCAAGCTGCAGGAGTCCAGACGCGCGCCCCCGGCCTGCTTTACCCGGGTGGGAGCAGAGCTGAGGTGCAAGCTTCTCATGGTCCACCAGGAGGGACAGGAGCTCAATAGTCAGCAGCACACTAGGCAGGGGTGTCTCTGGGCGCAGGCACTGTGGCAGCACCCGGAACATGCACTGGAACCTGAAACACAGGGCCCCAGAGAGACATGACACCTCCAACCCAATCCCATAACTCACCCTCACCTTTCACGATAGGCAACAGGAAATTGAAGAGGCCAGTAAAAAGGAGACTCGATTCAGACAGACCTGAGTTCAAATGCCACCCTACTTGCTGATACTTGTTTCAGGTGAACGAGTGGGTACTACCCTTCACTGTGGGACTGCTGTGAGGGACAGGGCCTGTCATCCCTTAGAGATGACAGGCCCTTACCTGGCACAGTGCCACCCAGCAAATACGAGGTGCCCCCCTGGACCTTGGGTGCCGGCCTCCGCACTACTCTTGGGCTCCTTCCTGCCTCTGCTCCCAAACAGGGAGGCAGGTTCAACTTGAGTGTGAGAGAAACGTCCTGTGCCCACCACCAGAGGACTGGCCAGGCATCAGCAGCGACAATGTGGACTTGGCTATGGTTGGATCTTATGAGATCGCTCGCTGGGCAAGGAAGACTTCATTTTCCCCACTTGTCGGGAAACACCAGCTCCTCTGCCGCCACGTATGAGAAGGTACACACTCAGGGTGTGCATGGTGAGGGGCTTGGGCACTCTCCCCCTGGTCTTGGGGGCAAAGGGATGGCGCATTCATTACCAAGGAACCGAGTCCAAAGACAAGCACTGCTTTTTGCTCAACCCACACAGCCTCGTGGGTGGGGGGAGGGGCAGTTCTGCGGGTATGTCCCTTTTCATGCACACGGCACCGAGGGTTAAGAATATTCCTTGTACACCATTAGGAAGCAAGGTCTTTTTGGGGCGAACTCATTTTAGA